GCTGAGGGAGACTTGACTCTCTAAGCGCGATTATCACAAGGATTTTGCACGAACACAATCGCACATTCGTTGGGAGGAGATGGTGGGAGGTGGACTGACGTTTTCTCGGAATACTGTACTGTGGAGGGCGCCAAGCATTCCCGCGCCATACGGAACTGTGATGTTGGTGCTCGCAATGGGGACTAATCTCTGGAAAGTGTTCTTGGCGAATGCTATGGTCTCAACGATTGTGGGCGCCTGGGGTTTCGGTGCGCACAAACGGGTGTGAAGTTCATGTCTGGAAGGTTGAACACATACCTCGCGGTAGCATACTGTGAATAGTGGTGTTCAGTTGAAGACCTGCAGTTGCTTAATGACTGTGCTAGTAAGAAAAACGAAAAAAATCATGGGAACAACTTGTATAAGGACCCCTGGCAGCCTCATTGTACGAGTGCTGCTCGTTTTCGCCAGCAGAGAGAAGAACACGGTGTAAAAACTAACAGAAAACACCCGTCTCGGTTGGGGGGACAGTTAGGGAGGCGTCAGGACTGCCACTTGTGATAGCCACACTGCTTTTGCCACTTATTGTGAAGCCGCGAGAAAGAGCCGGTCTTAGAGACTGTGCACCAGATTACCTGAGCAAGGCAGGACGTCTACCAGTCGCTTACATCTTTGATTCTATTTGGCACGTTTACGTGTTTCACTGGGCCAAGTCTTTGGGAATTAGTAAAGTTGCTTCCAAATTCATAAATTCTCATGGTCAGTAAGTATGGGAAACAGGCTTGATTATAACCAGTATCTAACGTTTCATAGTGACAGGAGGTGATGTCTTTGGCTCTGCTACGGTGAGCATAGCAGGCCATGAAGCGTTTTTCTTGTGCGAAAGATCTGAATGAGCTTCATTTGGACTTTCAGCGTCTCTGATGCATTTTCTTATTGCTGTGGCGACATTGGGCTTTGTTTTGAAATAACCTTTCATTTGCAGGTTACGAAGATAGATATGTGTCCACCTCAAATTTTGGAAGAAACCATGAAAAATATTGGACGATTGGTGAAAAGTATGCACTCATTAGCCCTCTCCATATCATGGACATCGTTGTAGTGGAATTTATTTTCAGGTGCCGGAGCAAGAAAACTCCCAGTAATGGTCCGCACCACGAATGATGTGATACATGCCGCTGTAAATTTCCCTAGTAAACGGTGAGTCGAGCAGTCGATTAAAGATTGAGGGTTGGAACGCAGTGAAACATCTTATGAAACTTCAGAGTGTGCCCTATCTTCCAAGTTTCCAATGTCGAAGGAACTAACCTTGATCTCCTCAGGCAGTTTTTAAATATCGTTCCATTGCGTCGTACGCTTTGTGAAGGAGATCCAGCTCATTTCCAAGTTTGTTTTAAGTTCATTTTCTGCCTGTCTCCCCCTATTTATTTCTCGTCGGTTATTATTTGGCGGATCGAAAGTTTTTGTGTTCTTTGGCTTCGTTTCCAACATTGATGGTTGTTTTGACAGATTGATGATGTCTACTGGGTGGAAGGAGTCGGTACTGTAGTCTCTGGAACAGTACTCGCCGGAACTATCAAAGTGAACGACACGCTCCTACTTGGCCCAAATTCAGTGGGCGAGTTCATTCCCCTGCCAGTGAAATCTATTCATCGAAAGCGATTACCAGTCTCAAGTGTTCGATGCGGTCAAACGGCTTCATTCGCTTTGAGGTATGTCGTGGTGTTTACTGATTTTGATCGGATTTTGTGCTCAATCTCAAAAGCGTCCATACTTTGCCATATCAGCGATCCAGTGGAGAGTACGTTCGTATTCATAATAGCCATCTGATCGCGCGAGCAATTTGGTTGCGCACTCTAAGCGAGCAAATCGCGCTGCAAGAATGCTGAGTTATGGGCAAAAGTCGAACCTCAGGCGGGAGTCGAACCCGCACCACGCGCTTTCCGGCGGCGTTCCGAGTGCACTGGCTGTTACGCTTTCGCCTCAGAATTCTTGTGGTAACTTTCGGAGCGCGAACTGCGGCATAAAACAGCAGTTATCATAATATAAAAACACTAACACACTGATATCAATCTGAACCACCGGTGGGTCATGCGCGTTCCTACATATAGGAAAACGTTAGCCGCCGGCATCTTATGATTGTTTTGCTACCCTCTGGATTGTCGCCAGTGTTTCTTTATGGTTCTTTTCCGCTATAACGTTCAGTGTGAGAGCTATTTAATGGTCATGACTGTTACACTAGTTTTAGGCGCCAACGCAGTTTGGCGTCATCACCTTCCTGGTGAAGAAGACGTCTCTTCATAGAGGAACTATCTAAAAGTGGTGAAGGTACTTGTTTAGGAAAATCACTAAGCGTGAAGTGAGGAAAGGCATGGTTATGGTAGATCCTCGTTTGAACCCAGTCTCCAGTATGCAGTTTGAAGCAGAGGTTTGTTTGTTCCTTTGATTTGTTTTCTCTCTGAAGTATTCTCTCTGGTGTTCATTTTTTGCGACATGTTTTCCACATAGTTTTTCACACTTTTGGCAAATAATTTGATTATAGATTCTGATATTGCATCATCCTACCACGATAAAGCCTAATTACCAAGCTATGCTGCACATTGGGTCCATAAGGCAAACTGCTACACTCGTTAGCATGACAAAGGTATGCAACAGTTTTAAGAGGGACAAAAATTGATTCCTTTATTTCTTATCTGTACCCTACCATAAGTCGTGAATTAAATGCTTATTTGCCCCCTCCATTTGTTCGCTCTTCTCTTATTCTAAACGTCACCAAATTTTGGTGGATTTCGTGGGGCGATTGAGCCTTTCTGAGTTAGGCAGCATTCAGACTTCGCGATAATGCGCTTCTATGCGCTAACTGCAGCGGCGCCCCAATGCTGTGGACGCGAAGGCGGCAGCAGATGGGAATTGGTCAACTCTGGAGGCTTGCGTTTTGAGTAGAGTAGAGTGAGTACAGACAGTATAACAGGAGAGTAGGTGCTGCCTTAAAACAATCTGGTACCCTTTTGTTCCTGTCTGCTCTCGCAAAACAAGCGGCCGACTCCGATCGATTCCGGTCTGTGGCTGCGTACCCGTATATAGCATCGGAGCACTGCTACAACTGCAGCGCGTCGACGAGCGTTACAGCGCACTATCGCGAAGTCTGTGCGCTGCCTCATGGCGATCGAAGAAATGCCATCACGCCCCTCTCCCCACCCTCTCCAGAAGACAGTTTCGCTAAATTTCCTAAATTTCTGAGCAAGTGGCGCAGAATGGCTTAATTGCTACCATACTGTTGTCTTTCAGTTTTTTGTACACCATGAAGCCCGTAATGCAATGAATAGTGAGGTTACGGAACTCCTGAGCGGTAATCTACTGCGGCTTCTAGCTGCAGAACGAAATCTATTTTTACGCATGATGAACTCTTTTCAAAATGCTGATTTGTAGGAGGTTCTGCGCACTGGTGATCGTGACCGAGTAATGTTTAGATTCATTCGTCTACCCGAATACATACGGCCAGGTGTGATAGTTCAACTATCTTTATTAGCAGTTTCTGGAAGGAACGAAGATAGAACATTTTCAGGTACCCGTATGGTTTTCCGTGAAGGCCGCACGAAAGCCGTCGGTACAGTGGTGAATGTGATTCCACAAGCAACGTTAGCACAGCAACGGTCGAAGTTCAAAGACAAAACTAACAGAACATGTGAGTATTCTGGGAAGTTTTTGCAAAAAATGCCCCCTCCCACCGAAACTTCCTCCGGCACGAGCCTCCTTCCTCATCTCCTATACTGCCACCTCTCTACCTCAATTCTCCCAACTTCCTACCACATCTTCTGGGTTTTCCAAAGGATTGTCCAATTTTTCCCCAAACAACTGGCGTCGAGGCAGGGCATAATGTGCACTCGAAGGAGAAAAAAACATGAAAGTCATCTATCAAAAACATTTTTCTTATGGGCAAATACGGTTTTCTCGCTCCAACGACCAGATATGACCCTCTCGCTAGGGACCGCCGCCTTAAAGGCAGTTGGCACGATAAATCGCTATACAGGTGTAGGATTTGTACAACTGGCTTAACAGAATTCCGTGACCTCGGACAGGCGCTGCGTGAAGCCTTTTCCAAGGAGGGTACCTCTATAACGCCCTATTGAGCAACAACTTTACGTCCCAAACGCCTTCCTTGCCCGCCCGCCCACAAACGGACGACCGTTTCTGACGCTCGTATTCATTCATTTGCTAAGCAAATTATGAAGCGGGGATTGGTATGAAGCGGCCGTGATGCTGCATGCATACATGGGTACACATATGCAGCCGTATCTTCGGTAGCGGTGATTGGCAAGATGCGTACGGGAAACTCGTCCGAAATCGATTTACAAGTCACTGAGAACGGAGGCTTTTTCTTCGCCGGATTTTGACCGTTTCACTCCGTTCTTTCGCCATTTCCCCACTATACAGCGCCCTACTAGCATTTTAGGCTAAGTAGGAAACCATCGTGCCAACTGCCTTTAAGACGTGCTCTGGCTGTTATAGTTTTGTAATATGTCAAGAATCCGCCGATTATTTATTTATTTATTTATTTGTGGACGCAGTATATCTGCGCAATTCATAGTAAGACAGTGACAATCGACAAGTACATAAATTGAAATCAGACAATTTGAAATGATTACACTCGATGACTCTTAACGTTCCCGGTCAAACTTTGAGAATATATTGGGTTTCTTTTTTTTTGTGATTCTTCACGAGATTTGTTTCAGTTGTTAAGCGAGGAGGACCCAAGCCACCAAATGGGAAGCCGAAAGTGGATCCGACAAAGGAACACGCATGAGCATGTGTTGCCTGTACTTCGAGCCCGTCTCAAGCAATTATTATAGACATCTAGTCGGTTCATTGTATGTTATACTCTCATGGTCAGTTGGAAGACGAGTTTGCTGATGACCCAGTGTTCCAATTACATATGTTAACTCTGAGTTGCTGAGGAAGTAGATTGTCAGCATTTTATTATCGCCGGGTCTCATAAACGCGGCTATGGGTAGATCATCTTGAGGCATATTGCCGAAGCTACCTTGTAATAGCAGTTTCGGTATATGAAAAGACTATATGAACATAGCAAAGTACGTAGTAAACGTGCAGGGATTCAAGGGACCATGTGAACTTCCAAATAATGTAATGTAATGTTCTGACTGGGTTGTATTGCTGCGCTCTCGTCGTGTTCAGAAAAGGGCCTACAAGGCGTTAGGTGATATTAAAATATGATCCTCCAGATGCTGGCAGGGATTTTGATCTATTTGGGCGAAGGAAAAACTCTTTTGTTGCATCACTCCTATGTTTGTCAAAATTGTATATTTGTCGCTTTGTATATTATCGATTCTCAAATGAATTGTTATCTCGAAGTGTGTCTGTGGTTGCAGTTATACTAAGGGCAGATTTTACAGTAAAGCTGCGTTCAGACTTCGGTTGACGCGCTACAACGGCATTGGGAGTGAGCTGCGTGATATTCCCACAAGGTGCAGGACAAGAGTCTCCGCCGCAGATGACACACTTTTTTTTGGGAGTTCGTACCCGTCCCCCCCCCCCTCCCAGCCCTCTGTCCTTCCTCATCGAATCGAGCCCTCGAGCGGGGGGGGGGTCGTATAGAGTCGACTAAAATCCCCAACCAATGATGTGCCCTGTCCACTCTTCATCACAGGTGACAATTGGGTCCAAAAACGGGTCGTTTCTGTTGCGCAAAAGCAGTGAAGAAGAAACCTCGAGACGTGCCAATTTCTGCCGGTCACTCAAATTGGGGCACCCACTTGTCGAGTTTTTTCACCTTCCCAATGCGTTTCAGACCATCCGCAACAGTGGATTTGCCAACGCCTAGCTTTTCTGCAATCTCTCGAACTGTTTGGGATGGGTCAGCCTCCAACCCTTCAAATCCTCGTCAGGTATTGCTTTAGGTCGACCGCTACGAGGTTCATCTTCAAGGCTGAAATCTCCAGAACGAAATTTGTCGAACCATTGTCGCACGGTGCTTTCTCCAACACTATGGCCCCCACACCTGGTTAATTTTTCGAGCTGTCTCGACTGCGGATTGACCCAATTTGTAGTTGAAGAACAATATCGTCCGAAGTTGCTCTTTTGACATGTCTGGAAAAAGGGGGTTTGTCAAGCAATGGTGAAATTACACCATCAGATAGCGCAAAAAATTCTCTTCAGGATGTACTACTGAGACGCAAGGGAGAATGAGTTTTTAATCAGCAATGAATGTACAAAAAATAGTAACACAAAACGCTGAGAACTTTCCGGACAACCTAATATCACAGCAATTCCCCTTTTCCATAATCTCGGACCGTTTTTCTCGACAGCCTAAGGGTAAAAGTTTTCCATGTACCTTCAAATGCTAATAGGTCTTGATAAACTGAGCAATCATCTCGGAAACTGGACTTGCAGTCAGCAACATGTGTTAATGTGGTGACGTGGGATCCGTGCGGTATCTACTGGGGACTTCCACATTCTCACGTTCGTTTTATGATGTGCCGAATCCTTATCCTGAATCGGGCACAGCCGAAGGAAGCATGGAGAGGTGGAGAAAATAATTCTACTCGCTTCTCCCATAGTGAACAAAGAGGTGAAATCGCAGTCTGGTTCGCTGCGGCGCCATTCCATTTCTCTCTTTTTTCTTCGGCAGGTGACCGGACTGTATCACATCGTTCGCATCAGTCTTTTTTCACCATTTGCTGTCTTGGGTGAGCGAATGGTGGAGAATGGATTTGGCGGTGTGCCAAACGCAACTGCGCGGACACGCCTTGTCATCTGCGGCGGACGAGACTCTTGTCCTGCACCCTATATCGGAAGATCACGCACTCACTCCCAATGCCGGAGATATGTAATATGACTGTCAATGGTAGGTCAGCATGTACTGGAAAAAAAGCTACAAGTTTATATGCGATAAGAACCCTGAAACGTCTTATATGCCGCTGATATCACATTATCATTCATTCCATTCGGTCGCTTCTTCAGAAGCGACGGTGGTCTACTTTATTGAGACTTCTACAGTAGCAGGTGAGTTCATCCACACGACGTGCTGCCCTTACTCTTCGGATTACTCGAGCCGGTCCCAGTAACACTTCCCTTCGCCTCTATATGGCAGTAGAGTAGCTCTGTACATTGTGTATGGTCAAATGGGGTATGTGGCAAGACTTCTTTGAGCGTGGAGAGCGATGCCGCGTCCGACAGACGAGTTCTCCTTCCTGGCCGTTTGAATTCGAGGGCTGAAGGAACGGGGAAATTCGGCATAGCCCGTCATGGAGTCGTTTTCCGCCTCGAGTGATATGAGTTTGGCTGCCTCAAGCGGCAAACCGGTGTACGTGCAGAACTTGCTCACGTCGCCGCACGTCATGCCGCGCGCGAAGAAGCGACGAATTACCGTTGTCTTTCTCGCCTCTCGGTCAAATGACACTAAACGCCACACATTCCTTCCATGAAAAGCACGATCATCAGTACTGGGTAATATAAGGTCGTCGAACGTCCTCATGGTTCTGTCAGCAGTCGTTCCGCTTGAACAACCTCTCCTGCTCTGGTTATCTTGGTATTCGGGTAATACGCTCTTGTGAAGATACCCTTGTATGGCATCGTTCGCTGCGGGTGAGGGAGCGTGTTGTGCTGGATGAGTTTGGCGCGGAACCAAACTCGTTCTCCATCAGTTGTTGAAGCAACCAAGTCACAAGACTGTATCATATCGTTCGTATCAGTATTTTTCAACCAATTGCTGTCGCGCACTCACCCACCTCAACAATTCGGAGAGAACTGCTTTGGCGCCATCGAGGTGACACGCCCCTTCACACGCAGCGAACTAGACTGTAGTTCGACTATGCCTGATGACCGGAGGATCTCAACTACTGATAGCTAGAGGATCCCAACTAACAGCCTCTGTTGTTCGGGTCACAAGCAGGCTTGATGACCAGCTTGACGACTCACTGATCTCGTCCGTAATAGATGGGCATTCTCTTTTCCCCAACCTAGACAGACCTTCACGAACAACCACCCTCCCTCTCGGCTTCTAATAGAAGTGTCTCCGTTGAGCCAGTACCATATTGAGTCCGGCGATATGCTAGCCCACATCATGAAAGGCAGCTCCCTTAGCTGAAATTAGAATGCTAAAGTGGGCCTGCGACAGAGCACGACTAGACAGAGTCAGAAACGAGGATGTCAGGGCAGTACACAGGCGGACCTAGCTGAAGGCACAGAGCAGCGGTTGTGATGGCATGTACATGTGCTGAGAAGACCCAAAGACCACCCTTGAGAAAAGCGTTGGCCTGCAAATTGGACTGCCAGCGATGACGAGGAGCCCCAAAGAAGAAATGGGGGACGTCATCAAGAAAAGACCTCACTGAAGTGAAAGCCACGGCAGAAGATGCAGTGGATCGGAACAAGTGGCGACGTCTAATCAAGAGCAGCGGACCCTGCGACGGGACTAACACTAAAGAGAAGAAGAAGCCAGTGCTGTCTTGAGCCAGCCTGCACCAGGATTCACGATCAGCACCATCGTGGAACTTGCGAAAATGCATAAATGGATGATGTTCTGAGCGGGAGGGCTGGAGTTGTGAAATAGGAGAGCGTTATGAAGAAACAATGGGCCAGACCGCTTCACAAAATAGGTGAAAAATGCTTTCTGGAAGAATTTTGCTCTCAATTTCAATTGGATTTTCAATTGGATTCTCTTTGGCCGAGGTCGTTCACCCCTCGGTAGCCCTCGCATACTGACCACAGAACTCGGGCGAGGGTTCTGCGCGCCACTTCCGGGTGACGTCCTAGCTTTTACACTGATACTTTTGCGACTTGTCGTGACTGTTGTGACG